CTCTCTCTCTCTCTCTCTCTCTCTCTCTCTCGTGTTTAACAATTAATTTGACACAAAAATCGATATTTAGGTTGAATTAGTGATAAACCAATTGCCAAAACTGCCCCACAATGCGAACTATCAGTGCGTTTTCGGTGAGGGACCGCCTATTGAGGCCCAGACTACCAAACATGGACTCGTATGTCGCACACCACCCGTCTCTTGGAGACCCCAAACCCCCATTGGATCAGGTATTTACAGCATTTGACGCATTTTATATCAATATATTAATTATATAATTAATTTCATTCATAGATCATATTCTGGTCGATCTGTCCGTCCGGTCGTCGGAAACGAAAACTGATTTTCTTCAACGAAAGTTCGCTTTCTTCGACTGCAATGCACACAAAACGTATGGCTTTCTTTCCCCCTCTCATGCCTTCATGTTTAAGATTTTATAATAAATGGTTTACTAATTATTTTGCATATTTTTGTTCACAGTTGTATGGATTGCGTTCAAAGTGAATGGCAGTGCAATTGGTGTTCAAACGACAACAAATGCAGTGATAATAGGAATAACTGTTCGGCCAATAGTCTGTCAAACGAGGTATGCCTTCAACCTCTCTCTCTCTCTCTCTCTCTCTCTCTCTCTCTCGTGTTTAACAATTAATTTGACACCAAAAATCGATATTTAGGTTGAATTAGTGATAAACCAATTGCCAAAACTGCCCCACAATGCGAACTATCAGTGCGTTTTCGGCGAGGGACCGCCTATTGAGGCCCAGACTACCAAACATGGACTCATATGTCGCACACCACCCGTCTCTTGGAGACCCCAAACCCCCATTGGATCAGGTATTTACAGCATTTGACGCATTTTGTATCAATACATTAATTATATAATTAAATTTAATTCATAGATCATATTCTGGTCGATCTGTCCGTCCGGTCGTCGGAAACGAAAACCGATTTTCTTCAACGAAAGTTCGCTTTCTTCGACTGCAATGCACACAAAACGTATGGCTTTCTCCTCCCCTCTCATGCCTTCATATTTAAGGTTTTATAATAAATGGTTTACTAATTATTTTGCATATTTTTGTTCACAGTTGTATGGATTGCGTTCAAAGTGAATGGCAGTGCAATTGGTGTTCAAACGACAACAAATGCAGTGATAATAGGAATAACTGTTCGGCCAATAGTCTGTCAAACGAGGTATGCCTTCAACCGATAGACACACTAAGACATAACACTCATATCCGATATAATTAATTAATTTTCCACTCAAACTATCGTTAATTACCATAAAATGTCAAATTTATTTTATGGTTAAAAATTTGTCTCTCATTAAACACCACTGATTGACACCAAAAAACAACAACAAAAAGCTCATAAAAAATCTTTTGCTCAATAATTATAACCACAACTTTCCTGTCTCTGTGTCTGTCTGTGCAGATGTTCAGCCCGTCGAGCGCTGGCGCCGCACCCGTGCCTAACAGTTTCATATCCGACCAGAAATACTGTCCCAGTTTTGATCTGAACCGCAATATTCTGCTGCCTAATGGCATCCCAAAGGAGATAATACTTCCGGTGAAGAATATGCCCATCGCTGCCAACGTGAGTGTCTTTTGCCATCCCTTATGTGACAAACAAACAGTTATAATAACTTAAATAAATATTATTTTTAAAACTTAAACATCTTTTTTCTGTCGCGCTTCTCTCTCTCTCTCTCTCTCTCTCTCTATTTAATTAATTTTTGTTGAGAATACAAGTCGAGAGAGTTTTTGATGAAATATTTGTATTTTCTATAAATTTTAAAATTTAATTGAATCATATTATAAACTCATATTTATTTAGTTTAAAATCTAATTTAAATTTCAATCTATAACAAAACCTTTTAAAAACAGTATAAAATTCTTGAAATTCTAGCGGTATTCTCAAGAAATTCTCATCGATTATAATACAAAAATGTTTACAATTGTATAATTGAGTGAAGTTTTGCACTCGTGTTTAGAGTTAGACTACAAGTGTTGGACTAAATTGAATGCAATGTTTATATAATCAAAGGCTGAGCAAAACGAGCGCAATGTTTGGCTAATTAAACCCAATTTCAATCCCTAATGTACTGTTCAATCCCTATATGTTATATTTATTGGTAAAACTCTTGCCGTCTATTTGCGAGCCATTGAACATCACAACCACAATCATAGGACCAGTTGTAGTCTCTATTGTGACCTCTCTTATTGAGCGTACAATTTCTTATTAAATCTATATTTATGTAATTTTAATCATTCATACCATGAGAACATATTTTTGGCAATTATTATCAATAATTTTACGGCTAAAATTTATCACTTATTTATCAATATTAGGTTTTTAGGCTCTTTCTCATATTATATAGTATAGTCTGTACTCCCGGTGCTCTTCATTATATATTTTAAGGGTATCTGATGTTTATTTTTCTCCTAAACTTCATCCTCTCTCTCTCTCTCTCTCTCTCTCTCTCTCTCTCTCTCCAATTGGGATCAGTTGTACCCTAAAAGGCGAATGTCGTGACCACAAGACCTCATCGTCTTCGCGTTGGCTCTCTCTCTCTCTCTCTCTCTCTCCAAATATAATTAAAATAATTATATTTTTGCTCTCAAAAACTCTTCACTTGAAAACTCATTAATCATTTGCTAGAATATTATTTTTGAGCCAATTTTATGGGAGAAGAGGATATTTCGGACACAAAATTATGAATATTTGCCGTCATTTTGGCACTAATTATAAATCAATTCTAATTTTTGTAACAATTTTGTATAAATATCATAAACACAACGACAAGTAACAGGACTTTTTCGATGTTAGTCAGCCCTTCAGTCTAATAGACTAAATATAATTAAAGTCAATCAATGATTAATCAATGTTTAAATATATCGTTTGTTAAGAGTAGCGGAGTTTGTTATAAGGATTGACTGAAAATAAGTTTGACTTCACTTAAAACTCTGTTTGATTTGTGGAGTTTGAGTGTCTGTCCTATCATTTCGGAGCTCTTGTCTCGTAAGCGGACCCTTAGCTAAACACTGTATGCAAACACCAATTTAAATGTTAGGTTAACTCAGTCTCTCTCTCTCTCTCTCTCTCTCTCTCTCTCTCTCTCT